ACATAAAGAAAAGATTCTAAAATGTGCAAGAGACAAATGTCAGATTACTCTCAGAGGATCTCCAATTAGACTCACAGCTGACTTCTCATCAGAAACCCTACAAGCTAGGAGGGAATGGTGAATATAGCCCAGGTACTAAGAGAGGAAAACTGCCAGCCCAGAATACTATATCCTACAAAGCTCTCATTTGTGAATGAAGGTGAAATAAAGACCTTTCATAGCAAACAGAAATTGAAAGAATTTGTCGCCACTCGTCCAGCCCTGCAAAAGATGCTTAAAGATGTGCTACACAGAGAAACACAGAAACACGGTCATCAATGTGAAAGAAGGTAAACGAAGGAAACCTCACAGCAAAAGATCACAGGAAGTTCAAAGCATACATTAGAAAATATCTTTGGCAAATGGCAGGGCAAAGTTACTACTTATCAATAGTCACATTGAACATTAATGGTCTTAACTCTCCAGTTAAAAGGCACAGATTGGCTGAATGGGTTAAGGTACAAAACCCATCTATTTGCTGCTACAAGAAACACATCTTTCCAACAAAGATGCATGCAAACTGAAAGTGAAAGGCTGGAAAAAGATATACCATGCCAACAGAAATGAAAAAAGAGCAGCCGTAGCCATCTTAATATCAGACAAAATAAACTTTAATGTAAAAACTGTTAAGAGAGACAAAGAAGGGCACTATGTAATGATTAAGGGATCAATTCAACAGGAAGATATAACGATTATCAATGTATATGCACCTAATTACAGGGCACCGGTTTGTTTAAAAGATATGCCAAGGGACTTAAAGGGAGACTTAGATTCCAATACAATACTACTGGGGGACTTCAATACTCCACTCTCAGAAATAGACAGATCATCCAGACAGAAGATCAACAAGGAAACAATAGATTTAAGTGACACCATTGCCCAAATGGATCTAACAGATATCTACAGAACTTTTCATCCTACACAAAAAGAATTTACATTCTTCTCAGCAGTGCATGGAACCTTCTCTAGGATTAACCACATACTAGGCCATAAAGCAAGTCTCAACAAATTCAAAAAAAATTAGAATCATACGATGCAGTTTCTCAGACCATAGTGGAATGAAGGTGGAAATTAGCAACTCAGGAATCCCTAGAGCATATGCAAACACATGGAGATTGAACAACATGCTACTGAATGAACACTGGGTCATAGAAGAAATCAAAAGAGAAATCAAAAACTTTCTGGAAGTAAATGAGGACAACAGCACAACATATCAAAACTTATGTGATATAGCAAAAGCAGTGCTAAGAGTAAAATTTATAGCAATAGGTGCCTACATCAAGAAATTGGAAAGGCACCAAATAAATGAGCTTTCAATGCATCTCAAGGATCTAGAAAATCCGCAGCAAACCAGACCCAAATCTAGCAGGAGAAGAGAAATAATTAAAATCAGAGAAGAAATAACAGGATTGAGTTAAAAAAATTACAAAAAATCAGCCAAACAAGGAGCTGGTTTTTTGAAAAAATAAACAAAATTGACACGCCATTGGCCCAACTAACTAAAAAAAAGAAGAGAAAAGACCCAAATCAATAAAATCAGAGATGAAAAAGGAAACGTAACAACAGACACTATAGAAATAAAAAGAATCATCAGAAATTACTACAAGGACCTGTATGCCAGCAAACAGGAAAATCTATCAGAAATGGATAGATTCCTGGACACATGCAACCTACCTAAATTGAACCAGGAAGACATAGAAAACCTAAACAGACCCATAACTGAGTCAGAAATTGATATAGTAATAAAGGCCCTCCCAACAAAGAAAAGCCCAGGACCAGATGGATTCACTGCTGAATTCTATCAGATATTTAAAGAAGAACTAACTCCAATTCTTCTCAAACTATTCAGAACAATCGAAAAAGGGGGATCCTCCTAATTTCTTTCTGTGAAGCCACCATCACCTTAATTCCTATGCCGGAGAAAGATGCAGCATTGAAAGAGAATTACAGACCAATATCCCTGATGAACATAGATGCAAAAATCCTCAATAAAATACTGAATACTGACCAATAGAATGCAACAACACATCAGAAAGATCATCCACCCAGACCAAGTGGGATTTATCCCTGGCATGCAGGGATGGTTCAGTGTGTGCAAATCAATCAATGTGATACACCACATTAATAGACTGCAGAAGAAAAACCATGTGATTATCTCAATAAATGCAGAGAAAGCATTTGATAAAATACAACACCCTTTCATGATGAAAACTCTAAGCAAACTGGGTATGGGCCAAGGACCTCAATAGACGTTTTTCAAAAGAGGAAATCCAAAGGGCCAACAGACACATGAAAAAATGTTCAGGATCACTAGCAATCAGGGAAATGCAAATCAAAACCACAATGAGGTTTCACCTCACCCCAGTTGCAATGGCTCACATTCAGAAATCTACCAACAACAGATGCTGGCGAGGATGTAGGGAAAAAGGGACACTAACCCACTGTTGGTGGGAATGCAAACTGGTCAAGCCACTATGGAAGTCAGTTTGGAGAGTCCTCAGAAGCCTGAATATAACCCTACCATTCAACCCAGCCATCCCACTCCTTGGAATTTACCCAAAGGAAATGAAATTGGCAAACAAAAAAGCGCTCTGCACCTTAATGTTTATTGCAGCTCAATTCACAATAGCTAAGACCTGGAATCAACCCAAATGACCATCAACAGTAGACTGGATAAAGAAATTATGGGACATGTACTCTATAGAATACTATACAGCAGTAAAAAAACAATGAAATCCGGTCATTTGCAACAAAATGGAGACACCTGGAAAACATCATGCTGAGTGAAATAAGCCAGTCCCAAATGGACAAATGTCGTATGTTCTCCCTGATCGGTGACAACTAACTGAGCATCAAAAAGGAAACCTGATGAAGTGAAATGGACACTATGAGAAGCAGTGACTTGATCAGCCCTTATCATCACTGTTGATGTACAATTTAATACTATATCCCTTTTAGTATTTTTGTTTGTTATACTTAATACCATTGGTTGAGCTATGTAATTAACACACGATTATTCTTAGGTGTTTAAAGTTAACTGAAAAGTGATCTCTGTTAATTATAAGAGTGGGAATAAGAGAGGGAGGGGGATATACAATTTGGGACATGTTTAAGCTGACTTGCCCCAAGTGGTGGAGTTAGAAATGTGCCAGGGGATTCCAATACAATCCCATCAAGGTGGCATGTACCAATGCCACCTCACTCATCCAAGTGATCTATTTCAGTTCACAATTGATTGCACTGATAGGTCTAAGAGTCAAAGGGCCCACGTAACTAAGACTAGCATCTGCTAATACTAACTGATAGAATAAAAAAGGGAGAGAACGATCCAACATGGGAAGTGGGATACACAACAGACTCATAGAATGGCAGTTGTCCTAAACAGCACTCTGGCCTCAGAATCAGCCCTTAACGCATTTGGATCTGGCTGAAGAGCTCTTGAGAGTAGTTTAGGCATGGAAAGCCAAGACACTCTGGCAAAAAAAAAAAAAAAACTAAATGAAAGATCTCTGCAAGTGAGATCCCAGTGGAAAGAATAGGCCATCAAAGAAGGGCCTTCTCTGAAGGGAGGAGAAAACTTCCACTTTGACTATGGCCTTGTCGAAATAAGGGCAAAGTTGGTGAGCTCAGGGGGCTTCCATGGCCTTTGCAACTCATGACTAGAGCCTGGGGCGATTGCTGACACCTTAAACAAGAGTGTCAATTTGTTAAGTCAACAACAGAAGTCACTGTGCACTTATTCCCCATGTAGAATCTCTGTCCTTAATGTGTAGTTCAATGTGAATTAATGATATGACTAGTGCTCAAACAATATTGGCAATTTGTGTTCTGTGTGGGGGCAAACTGATGAAAGCTTTACTTAATATATACTAAATTGATCTTCTGTATATAAAGATAATCAAAAATGAATCTTGTTGTGAATTGAATGGGAGAGGAAGCGAGAGATGGGAGGGTTGTGGGTGGGTGGGAAGTTATGGGGGGGGGGAAAGCCATTGTAATCCATAAACTGTACTTTGGAAATTTATATCTACTAAATAAAAGTTTTAAAAAAATAAGCTTACCTTATAAAATGGAAATAAATTATCTAATATTCATGTTAAAGACTTGGAAAAGCAAGAACAAACCATACCCAAAATTAATAGGAGGTGAGAAATCAAGAGAATCAGAGAAGAGCAAATGAAACTCAAACAAAACTAACAACTCTTAAAATCAAAAAAAGGAAAAGATGGTTTTTGAAAAATAAGCAAAACAGGTAAATCTTTAGCCAACTAACAAAGAAAATGAGAAAAAACCTAAAATAAATAAAATTAGATATGAAAAATGATACCACAGAAACATAAAGAATTACAAGTAACTCCTGTGAATGACTTTGTGCTATCAACTTAGAAAACCTTGAAGAGATAGATGAATTCCTGGGTGCATGCTATCTGCCAATATTACTTCAAGAAGATATAGAAAACCATAACAATGCGATTGAAGCAGTACCTAAAGTCTCCTGTCAAAGAAAGGTCCAGGACCTGATGTCTTCACAACTGAATTCTACAGAACATTTATTTAGACAGGAACCAACTCCAATACTTTGCAAATTATTCCAAAACGCTAAAAGAATTAAAGAAAGAATGAGCTTCAAATGTCACAGAAGAGGAAACCAAATATCCATGTTTGCAGATGACATGATTGTACAGTGCTAGGTCATGCCTCTCATTCAAACTGTTACCATCAACTATATTGGAAACAGATCCTTTTAAGTCACTCTACTTACTTCACAAGGAGGGGATGATAATGTGTGGGTCTTGGAGTCAGTTTTGGAAACAAAACTTGGACTCTAAAATGACCACGCTTGGACACTGAAAAATGTGTGTGTAGATAGCAGTACAGCATCACCTACAGTGCGGCATGGCTCACTTTGAAAATTCCATGGTGTCCTGTCACCAGGGTAACAAGGTGAGTGACATCATCCTGCCATTCCAACTGTCACTCTCTTGAGCTGAAAGGTTCAAACTTGAGTGCGGTGGGAACGTGCGTATCGTCCTATCCAGAGTGGTCCGCGATGGGAAATCTCAACTGCTGTCCAGCAGGTAGGTCACACTGACCTCCACAATGCTGCTTCTTCCATTGGCCACTTACCTTCTGCTTAATCACTCTCCTCATGGACTGTTATTTCCCCCATTCCAGGCTGTCTACAGATTTATAAATACATTTGGTCATCGTATTATTCAGTTTCTACTTTTGATGCTTCTGTTAAGTTTGTTGTTTCAAAATATTTCCTAAATTTAGAAAAATAATTTCCAATGCCAAGTTTGTTCACACCTTATCCAGAGAATGATGATAGGAAAGAAAGTCACACTACTGTCATCAAGCCAGGAAAATTTCAGACCAAACACAACACAGACATCACACAAAAAGGGACTTTCAAGCCAGCCTCTTCTGTCTGTAGAGGTCGCCATCTGAGACCAAGTCTGTAAGAACAGTCTGAACCCAGATATATTTTTGTCACATTGGAAAGTAACTGGGATTTCAGGGTGGGGTGGATAAACACATGAACCCTGCTGTTTGGGGGTTACAGGGAAACGGGGAGGAGGGACAGTGCCGTTGGTCAGTGGGGCAGACATCTGAAGACTGAGAGAAGGGGGCCTGCCTGATGGTCCTCAGGCAGCATCATGGGTTGGATGGGGCAAGCCTGGCCATGGATGAACCTCACCGATGGGAGAGAGAACTGTGTATGCTGTCCCTGCAGGGTCTAGAGAAAGGTGAAGAGTTCCTAGGGACTGGGTTTTGGTGAGAAAAGTCATGGGCATGAAGATGCACACAGACCTAGTACAGCCAGCCTTTTGTCATACAGGGATTTGAGACTGCTCAGCCACTTTCTCTGAAGGACAGATATTAAGTTTTCTGTGGCATTAAAACATACATCTGAGACAGGGTAAATTATAAAGGAAGAAGACACCCAAGTTCAGGATTCTCAAGTCTAGGAGTCAAAGATCAGGTGCCCATATCAAGGGTCCCATGTTGTGTCCCATCATCGTGGAAAAGTAGAAGAGCAAGCAGAGTGACAGAAGAGAGACAGGGAGAGCGGTTGGGCTTGTGTTCTAATGACTCTCCCCAGTATTAACCAATTCAGTACTGAGAGAACCACACGAACTCCCTTCAACAATCTGTTCCCAAATTCCCCATCCCCCAACACCACAACAATGGAATGGCCCCACTTTGGGTGAATTTCTGTTCAGTGTTCATGCAGCGTTGGCCATGGCCGAGAAGTCGATGTTGGCTCACCCTCACATGGCAGTTGCTGTGGAATGTCCTGAGTTTTGAGCCAGTTTTAAAACCAAACACACCACTGGCCCTGTGGGGTCACCTGGCCATGGGGAAGGCTGAGCCAGTGACAGTGTGAATATGTGGGGCCAGGATGGGTGTAAGTTTGGGTTTCTCCAGACCCTCAGAGAGGGTGTCCTGGAGGAAAGAGTCCTATTTTAAGCCAGGAAAAGAAACCTGGAGGGAGCGATCTGAGTCATGATTTCTCTTGTCTCCAGAACTTTGCCCTGAGCAAGACTGTTCCCGAGGAAATCCTGCCCTGGAAGATGTCAGAAAGCCACTGAGGGTGCTTAGTCCAGGGTTCTAGTAAAGACATTCATGGTCCTCTGTCCCCCAGGGAACCAATGGTGAGACTGTCCCAGATCCATGATTTGTCAGTTATAAGAATGTGGACAACTCACTGAGAGTCTCTAATTTTCAATTTGCTTAATAGTAAATCAACATGGAGCAGACACAGATCTGCCCATAGCTTGGGGCTGTGTGGGGAGCATGGGAATGAGAGATTCTCCATGAGCTGTAAAACTTTCTATGCATGGAAGAAGGGAGAGCAATTTCCATCCTGTCCTCCTCTGTGGTCACGTATCCTCCCTGCATTCAGTCACAACCAGTGATCAGCTTATTCCTTCCTGGCATTTGAAGACTGAAGAATTTCAGACAATTATGCAGCACCAGGGCCAGCGCCGTGGTGCACTAGGTTAATCCTCTGCCTGCAGAGCCAGCATCCCATATGGGCGCCAGGTTCTAGTCCCAGCTGCTCCTCTTCTAGTCCAGCTCTCTGCTGTGGCCTGGGAAGGCAGTGGAGGATGGTCCAAGTGCTTGGCCCCTGCACCCCCATGGGAGACCAGGAGGAGGCACCTGGCTCCTGGCTTCAGATCAGTGTAGCTCTGGCTGTTGCGGCCATTTGGGGAGTAAGCCAATGGAAGGAAGACCTCTGTCTCTCTCTCTCTCTCTCTCTCTCTCTCTCTCGTCTGTAACTCTACCCATCAAATAAACAATTAAAAAATCTTTTAAAAAATTATGCAGCACCGGACTTGATAAAGATCCACTTCTTTTTAATCTCTTGAGCTCAAACACAACACAGGCCATATCAGTATCTCCACATCTCATAACAGGGAACCAGGACAGGTGATGGGGGTCAGGGGACTCTGTGCAACTTTCCCAGGTACATGCAGCTTCCCTTTAGGGTCTGAACCTTCAAGCACTAGTCCCTGTACTCTCATCTTAAGAAAAGTCTTTGTCTACCCTATCAAACTGTTGGGTAGGAAATGTTCACCACACTGCAAGATCTGCCTAGCATACAACTCTGATTTAGAGGATGGCTCTGCACTATTGAATGGGAAAACTGGGATGAAAGTGAGGAACTGCACACTTCCCTGTGCTCTTCTGCTGGTGGGATGTCAACAGCTGTCTATTGTCATACTGTTCCAGGATCTTGTCTAAAGAGTTTTAGACGAAAAGGAAGTCGGAGGTCAAGAACATCGACTGTCCATTCTGCACTGAAGGTCAGAAAAATCTTTGTCTTGCCAAAGAACAGGATACCCCCAACAAAGGAATCAGTTGAAGGTACTGTGCAAATTCATTCATTAAGCTCATTCAACAATCAGGATTCTACTTTATTCAGGGTCTCATAGTTAAGACAAAACTCTTAAAATCTATGCTATCTGTGTCTTTCATTCCATGACTGCAAAATTAGAATTGGTCAACTCAATCAGCAGGGTGACCAGTGCAGAGGGAAGACATGATAACAGCTTAAACTTGGGGTCACTGTTAGTAGTAACATCTCAAGCTACTGTTCAGATGTTTGGCCAATTGTCCAACATGGGCTGAAATGGACATCTTACTGAGAGAGTGCCACCAGATCTCACACCAATATTAACAACTGGAGATAAAATATGAAAACTGAAAAGATAGCTCCTAAGGTTCTCATACTGGACTCCCACTTCCCTTTTTCTGATGACACTTCCATTAGTAGGGTACATTTGTTATGGAGACTGAACCAATAAAGAAATGTTATCATTGACTCAACTCCCAAGTCTGTACTAAGGTTGGTTCTGGTGATACAGTTCTAGGAGTTATTCATCTTTACCCATGTTTCCAGAACCCTTGAATGACCCCAGAACATGACCCTAGAACTGGTCATTTTAAATATCTGTTTAGTCGGCCGGTGCCGCGGCTCACTAGGCTAATCCTCCGCCTAGCGGCGCCGGCACACCGGGTTCTAGTCCTGGTCGGGGCGCCGGATTCTGTCCCGGTTGCCCCTCTTCCAGGCCAGCCCTCTGCTGTGGCCTGGGAGTGCAGTGGAGGATGGCCCAAGTGCTTGGGCCCTGCACCCCATGGGAGACCAGGAAAAGCACCTGGCTCCTGGCTCCTGCCATCGGATCAGTGCGGTGCGCCAGCCGGCAGCGGCCATTGGAAGGTGAACCAACGGCAAAGGAAGACCTTTCTCTCTGTCTCTCTCACTCACTGTCCACTCTGCCTGTCAAAAAAAAAAAAATCTGTTTAGTCATTCTTTTTCACAATTTCCTAGAGTTGGAATTAGATTTGGTAACATACATAAGAATTCTTCTGCTCCTTTTTGTGGCTTGACTGCTCAATGATTTTCATCACTGAGTTATACCCCCTTGGATAGATGGGCCAATGTTCTTGGTCCTGGTTTCCAATTTAAGCAATCAGGAAGAAAGCCACCAGAAACAGTCATGTGGCAGGGTGCTGTGGGGACAAAGTTTTTTAAATTAATTGGGTAAACACCTAGGACTATGGCCCCTTGCTTGTATGGGGATGACATTTTTCTTGGTAAGAACTGACTGGAGTTCACCAATGAATCCACATGGCCCTGACACCTTCTTTCGCCTTTTGTAGCTGTAAAGTTCTCTTCAAAGGCTCAGGCCCATGGGTTAGTTTGGGTAGTTTCTGATTCCGAAGGAATTTCAGGCTTCGTTGAACCTACTTGTGGGCATACAGTATGTAAAGTACTTTTTTCTTTTCCTTTTCCTGTCCATGCCATCAGTGGTGAGGATTCCCTTCTCATTTACAGTACCAGACATTGTTTCTTCTCTTTTTGCCTTGTGCTTAGACAGGCGGAGGTTTCACAATCTTATGGATTTTTTCAAAAAACTAATTCATGATTTTTTGTTTTACTCTGTCCATTTCCTATTTCCTGTTACATCCATTTCTGAGAAAATTGCTATTTTTTCATTTTTTATCTAATTTACATCAGATTGCTTTTCTACTTACAACCTACTTTTCTAGGTTGTAAGAATCCCTTGATTTTAGATCATCATCATTTTTGAAAGTATTTCACTCAAGGGCTCCATTTTCCTTCTGAGCACTGCTTCATTGCTACCCAAAGTTGGGGTTTTTATTTGCTTTGTTCAAAATAGTTTAAGATGTCTATACAGTCTTCTTTGTCCCATTTGTTTTGGACAGTATGTTATTTAGCTTCCATAGTTCTTGCAAAATTTGCCAAGTAATCTTCATTGATTGAACTCTATTGTATTACCATAGTTGCCTAGTGGCACAAGCTGTGTGACATACATTACTTTAAGTGAGCGGTTGTGTGACAGAGCTCATACTTTGATCTGCCTTGGAGACTTCTTCATATGAACCTGAGAAGAATGTGTTTCTCTCATGGCTGAAATGTCTCTACATGCCAATCAAAATAGTTAGTTGAGGGATAATAATTTTCTCAGGCTGCCATAATCAAGTGCCTGGTTGGTGGTCAGTTTGAAGTACATGATATTTTATTTTCCCACAGGTCTGGAGATTGGGTGTCAGAAATCTAGGTTTATGCATAGTCACCCTCCCACAGAAACCATCAGGACTAATCTTTCCTGTCCCTTCTTAGCTTCTGCTGGTTTCCTGGAAATCCTGGGCCTCCTAGGTGGCTACCAAAGCACCTGAATCTGCTCCCATCATTTCATGGCATCCTTCCATCTTGGACCTGTTTCCTCATCTTGTAAAAATGCCAGTCTTATGGGAACAAGTCCTTGCTCCTCTAATATGAATTCATATTAACTGGTTAATCCTCCAATGACTCTATGCCCAAATAAGGTCACTAATCAAATCTCAAAAGGTCAATTTCACTCATATTCATTACTTTTTTGTACTCTGTATGTTACCACAAATTTGGGGAAACATGATATTTGTCTTTTGGGGCCTGGTTTATTTCACTAAGCATAATGGTCTGCAGTTGCATCTACATTTTTGTGAAAGACAGGACTGCATTCTTTTTATGGCTGAGTACCATTCCATCATGTATATATACACCATAATTTCTTCATCCAATCATCAGTTGATGGACATCTGGGTTGACTCCACTGTGAGCTGAGTGCTATCGACAGAGGGATACACACAACTCTTTCATATAGTGATTTCAATTCCTTTGGGTAAATTTCCAGGAGTAGAATGGCTGGGACCTGTGGTAGATCCATTTTCAGATCTCTGAGAAATTGCCATACTGTCTTCCACAATGCTTGTACTAGTTTACCTTCCCACCAAGTATTAGGCTACTATTTTCCCCATGTCCTTGACAGCATTTTTTATTTTTTGATTTTTGGATGATAACCATTCTAACAGGGGGGAGGTAAAATCTCACTGTGATTTTTATTTGAATTTACTGACAGCTAGCAATGCTGAGCATCTTTTCATGTGTCTTTGGACCATCTGTAATTCATCTTTTGAAAAATGCTTGGTCGTATCCTTTCTCATTTCTTAACTGGATTGCTTGTTTTGTTGCTGTTGAGCTTCTTGAGCTCTTTATATATCGTAAATAGTAATTCTTTATCAGAAGTATCATTTGCAAACATTTTCGCCCATGGTGTCAGTTTGTTGAATGTTTCTTTACTCTGCAGAAGCTTCCTAGCTTGATGTAATCTCATATGTCTATTTTTGCCTTTATTGCCTGTGCTTCCCGGGTCTTAATATGAAGTCTTTGCCTATGCCAATGTGATATCAATACATTTAGATTTATATCTACATGAAATTAATCTTTTATTCTTTTCCTTTGCTAAAACATACCTTTCATTAACTCCCTTTCCAGGTTTTATTTTTGTTTTAAAGATGCACACAGAGACAGAAAGAGAGATATAAAGGGAGTCTCCCATTCACTGCATCACTCCTAAAATGCCCCTCAACTAGGCTGGGCCTGGCTGAAACTGGGAGTTGGAAACTCAGTGCAGGCCTCCTACAGGGTTAGTAGGAATCCAACCACAAGAGCCATCACATCCTGCCTTGCAGAGTGCACACTAGCAAGCACCTGGGATCAGTAGCATTATTCCAGTGTGTAACAGGAGCATTTAAGGGTGTCTAAAGCATTATGAGAAATGTCCACCACTTTGTGGGAGACTTTGTGTCATTATGGATGAGAGATGAGCTTTGTGTGAATATTTCTGTAATTATAGCAGTCTGAGGCTTCTGTGCCTCCATTCCCACTGTTCTGTTACTTTTCCAATGGCCTCTATATTTGCCTTCATACTCCTAATTATACCTGTCTCACTGCTGTCTCCATTTTAATTCACTATTATTTCATGGAGGCCCTGTTGAACTGGTGGTGAGGAGTAGGGGAAGGAAAGTTTTGTATCAACCCTTGTTTCAACTCCTTTTTAAGCCAACCCGAGTCCCTGACCTTTCCTCTTTCACCTTTCCCTAGCCTCCTATTCTCCCTATTTATTTTACTAAAACTAGTGGGGACTAGAGTTGTCTGGATGCCCCCTATCCAGTCACATAAGGTTCTGGTGGTGTCCTTGGAGGATGTGACTTTGCTATGAAGAACACCTGGGAATACTTCACAGTGCTCACTTTCCCCTGAGTATTTCCAAATGGGTATTTCCCCCTCTCCTGGGCCCACAGGGGTTCTCCTCTGACCTTCACCACGAGAATCTGGTGGACCTGTGGAGCACAAACATACAGAAGTGGGGTGACCTGGAGACTGGACCCCACTGGGTTTGTTCTCCAGCAGGTGCACACTCAGCCTCTGAGCCCATCCACACTCCCATGCATGTGCACTGTGAGCCACAGGCTCCAGGACCCCTGTTTCAGCTACGCTGACTGCAGCTGTGCTCTCTGCACCTGTCAGCTGCAGGCAGGAATTTCAGGGTGGCAGCTTGCACACTTGCTTCACTTTTTTGATAGATCTAAGTTGGCCTTTTTTTGTAAAGATTTTATTTTACTTTTTTTGAGAGAGTTACAGAGAGTGAGAGGGAGAGACAGAGAGAAAGGTCTTCCTTCTGTTGGTTCACACCCCCAAATGGCTGCAATGGCCAGAGCTGTGCCAATCAACAAACGGATGAGTAATGACAATGTGGTATATGAACACAATGGAAGAGTTTTAATATATAAAAATGAATTAAAGTTTTATACCACACCATGGAAGGACATGGTAAAACAACACACTGCAATAAAGTAGACACAGAAACACAAACACTGTATGATTCTAATACAATGACATGTCTACACAAAGCAAATTCAAAGGGACTGGAAGTACAGATTAGTTGGGGATGGAAGGAGGAGAAGGTAAAGTTCTTCCTTTATAGATGCAGAGTTTAGATTGGGTATGATGACAACTGTTGGGGCACACAGGGGTGGTGCTTACACAGCACTGCCAAGTAATTCATGCCACTGAAATTTTCACTTACAAGTGATTCAGATAATAAATGTCTACTTGCCCAGAGCAATTTAAAAATACCTGAAAGGAAAGATGGCAAATGTAATAGCTGCTTATGTAGATTCATGGAGGTAAATGATCTTGGAACACAACAAGAAAAAAGCAGGGATTTCTACGGTCTACATTTTGGGCATTTCCACGCCCATTTTGCACAGGAGCAATGATGGGGCATCATCAATGAATCAGTGCACTATGGCATTCGCCTATTTCTAAATTGACTATTTCATAATGATTTGGTTGCTGGTAGTAAGAAAGCCAAACTCCCTTCTCATTTCTTTCCTGCTCCTCTTCTTGGGATTTTTCATCTACCAGGGAGGACGATCCAGCAGTGACACGTGTGCAGTTCCAAGCCCACATCACGTGGCCTTCCTGCTACTTGTGGGTGCAGGGCTGGCTTGTCTTTTTCTTGCTCTGTTATTGAGTGCAGCACAGAACTTTTGACGTAGTTCACTGCTCACAACTATCCCCACCTAGCCTAGGCCCATGTCCACAGCAAGCAAGTCTACCTGCCGAACTCATCCACAACACCTGACAGTTACCCCGTGGTTCTCCTAGCTGCTCCTGAGGACCTGGTGGAAGCGATTCCGAGAGACAGAGCAGAGGAGGAAGTCACATCTCTTGGCAAGGTATGACTGGGGTTTTTGGTCACAGAAACAAATGTTCCTGGTATACAATCACTAGTCTTATTTATTTATTTGAAAGGCAGAGTTGCACAGAGACAGGGGAAGAGAACAAAAGATCTTCCATCTAGTAGTTTACTCCCCAGATGCCTTCAAAGGCCAGAGTTGGTCCAGGCCAAAGCCAGGAGTCCAGTGCACTATCCAGATCTCCCACATGAGTGACATGGGACATTCTCCATGCCTCCCCAGGCACAACAGCATGGCATTGTATTGGAAGCTGAGCAACCAGGATGCAAACTGGCACTGCAGGATGGACTGCTGGCACTGCAGGCAGCAGTTCCGTTCACTGTGTCACAACATCAGGCCCAGGCAATGTTTTTCTCAGATATGAAAATCTGAACGCCTATACTGCAGATGACTTCCACAATTTATTTGTGGGGGAAGCCCAGGGCATGTCTGTTATAAAGTGAGACATGACTCAAGAGGGTCTCATAAAATGACAGAATCAATTACAAGTGATGTGGTGCTGGGCCTTGTCCACAGGAGCAGTTCTGCATAGTTTAAATATTTTACTGATTTAAAAGATTTATTCATTATTTGAAAGGCAGAATAACAGAAAGACAGACAGACAAAGATCTTAAATCCTCTGGTTACCTTCCCAAATGGCTATAATGGCTGGGCCTGGCCATGTGGAAGCCAGGAGCCTGGAACTCCATCTGGGGGTCTCCCACTGGTTGGAAGGGACTCAAATACTTGGGACATCCTCCACTGCCTTCCCAGGTACATGAGCAGGGAACTGGCAGCAGCAGGGCAGCCTGGACTTGATTTGGTGCTCTGATATGGGATGCTTGCCTCTCAGGGGGCAGCCTAACCCAGTGTGCCACAAGGCCAACCCCCAGGTTTTCATTTTCACAAATGAATGTTGCATTTGCCCACCAAAATGAACACGTAAAATGGGCTGTGTAAAGCTCACATATTTCACACAAGTATCCTCTGTGCTTTAATTGGGGCATTTGCCTCATGCACTGTATCCCATCAAGTTTCCCAAGGTCAGCACCAGGAGAAGAGACCTGTGCAAACAGTATCTGATCTCACAGTGACTTCCTTTCTCTGACTGCAGGTGGACTCAGGATCCAGTGCACACTGTACGTATTCTAGAATGCCTCAGGTGCTGAGGAACAACTGAAGGGAGGAGACACTGGGACCTTCCTGCCGGTTCTCTTCTGGAGAGCCAACCTGATTCCAGCTTCCTGGTGGATTAAAAAGATTGAGGGTGTGGTAAAACAAAAACCAGAAAGACTAGCACATAGCTACAGGCATCTAAGGCAGGCTCTGGAAATAGCTATGTCATTTAGATGGTGGGGGTTTCTGTGCCCCAGTATGGTGAGTTTTTATGAGTGAGCGTGTATGTCTTTGAAAGTGCTTGGATGTGTATATGTGTACATATTTCCCACAGAAAATGTGTTCCCAAATGCACAGCTCAAGGTTCAATTCTCAAAAAACAAAAACAAAAAAGAACCTGATCACCTTCTGCACTTTATGTAAGTGAGCTCATTCAACCCTCACCCCACATGTGTCTGATGGTTAAGTCACAATTCCATGGCTTAGCTGTATATGAAACATACTCCCAACATATGTGAAAAGTGTTTAATACAAATGAAAACAGTTTAAAATATATTTAGGGAGCTGGAAAGGTCAACATGATTTGATCATCACACACTGTCTGCATACAACGAATTCTTATGCTATAATCCATAAAGATACCATTTCTAATGGTAATAAAAACAATAGGATCAGGAGAAAAGTTTTACCATAATGCCTGGTGCTCATTTATAAATGGTGGAATTTCACCATTTTTACATCTTCTTCATTTACTTGTGTGGTACCTAGGGATTGGCAATAAATGAACATGTTGCTTTGCCTACAACTGAGTCATTCTCCCACTAATGGTTGCTTTTAATTAAGTTCAGAAGCTCATAGGAGAGATGACATATTCAAATACAATAAACAGATATTGATCCCTGAGTAGTAGTGACCTTGGGAAACATCAAGATGACAGTAGCAGTTTATTTGATTCTAAACATGCAGGAATCGTCCCAGGACTCTTACTGAAATACAGCAACCGTGGTGGTATTGGCCCCAAATAGTTCCCATGAATGAAGCTGCCTTGAGCTAGAAAGCTTAAGGCTCTGTTTCTCAGGTCTTTCACGTTCTTCTCCTTGGCCTTAACCCTCGCCCCATGCCCATGTCCACCAATGCTCCCTGATGCACCAGTGTACTGACAGTCACCATATGTCTGTCTAGTGCCCCTGGAGGATGCATGGGAGGAGCTTCCTGGTGACACGGAGGATAAAGAAACTCCAGAGTACACTGAGGTAAGGGCCCCCGCCTTCCTCTAAAACAGAAATGTTCCTTCCTTGGCTTCTTCCTTTCTCAACCATATGAAGAGAAGAAAAATCTGATCATGGATAGGGTCCATGATACACCCTGTGCACGGTGAGGGCCACTGAAAGGGAGAGTTTACACTGACAGAGAGCTGACGCGGGACACAGGGACAAAATGACTGTCAGGACTGGACCACAGCAAGCTTTTCTCTGCAGCACTTCTCCTCTTTTGAAAGGAATTTTGTGGCTTCCAACCACAGTGGACTGGAGAGACACCTCCCCCATGAAGAGCTGATGCCTCCTGGAGTGAGTGTGATCGCTCTGCTCACGTCTTTGGGTTCCCTCCATAGGATCACTCTTTCACACGGGGTTTCCCAGTGTCACCAAGGGCATTAAAGACAGGTGCAAAGGGACACAGAGTGTTCAGAACCTCATGGTGCCATTTTCTAATTACAGGTGATCTCAATACAAACAGCAAGTGGTATGTATTCGGGAATCACTTACTCCCTGTAGTATGAATAGTCCAGATGACAGCACAGATGGGACTATCTTGGGGCTTTAGTGTGGAAGGCCACTTGACGCCCAATTCCTGCTATGACAGAGGACTAGGAGTGCGGTGGTGGGAAATTAACTTCCTGATAAAGGGTACTGATCATTTTCTGGGGTCCCTGGAAGATACTGGCTTGTGCATGGGGGTGGACTTTATCTCTGTGGGTTCCCATGTGTTACAGTTCTGATTGTACAAGTTTGGCAGTTTGTGTGTATTACCTTAGTTATGTTCCTCTGAAGCCACTATCAGTTCTCTATAAAAAAACAATCACAGAGGTATTGCTGCATGGTTACAGGAATATGTATATAAAAAAGTGGGGGGTTTCAGATGCAGGCTGGAGGCATCGTATTTCAGTGCACTAGGGAAAGTGAGACGTTGAGAGGTGGTGCCGTCAGCTCCTCTCCCTCCCTGGAAGGCTTGAAGCTATGGTCAATGTCTGCCTGAAGGTCAGGTCCACAGAGCCCAGGAAGGGGCTGAGAGCACAGAGAAGGGGCAGGGTCATGCTGAGCAATCCAGGGGAGGAACGGGCAAGACTCTCTGTGAACATTTACTGTCTGTGTTTGTGTCTCTCAAGATTGGGTCTTACAGAGCGTTTCGGACTATGCCAGTGACGATGAAGCCTCTTCAGGTAGGAGCAACACCCACAAAGACCAGAGGGTCAAATTAGGGCAATGCTTGGGTTATCCACTGCTTTGGACTCCTGAGAGGACATAGGAACAGAGGAGGAAAAAAGACATTGTATGTAGACATCTGATTTGTTCTTTTTTATATTAATTATAGAGTAGGAAGAGGTTTTATGCCCATGGGATTGGAGCAATAGAAATTTTTAACTATCATTTCTTGCTTTACTATTTAAAACTTTATATTTTCTTTAATACTGACCACCCCCGGCTTTGCCATTGCAAAGATCAAATCCACTGCATTGTGACAGGACAGCACTACCTTCGAATTGAACACAAGAGATGTCTGGGTTTTGCACTGACCATTGTCTTCGTCCATTTCTGGCCACAACGTAATACCTGAGACTCTGTAACTAATCAGGAACAGAAATTTCTTTCTTACAAGGTTGAAGGTCAAAGAGCAAGGTGCTGCCATTGTGTCTCAGTAAGGGCTCCTTGCTTCATCCTCAGCTCAGGGCAGAAGGAAGAGGAGCACCCACACACACACACCCAGGGTCAGTTGAGTTAAAGAATACTTGCTCTGGGCTGACTGGGGAGGCCCAGCATCTTAGAGTTGTGAGGGCCAAGCATTACTCTGGGTTCATCTTGGCTTCCACATCTCATCCAAGTCTAGTGTTTGGAGTAGACTGTGTGACAGGCCATTATCCAGCTGCTACTGGAGACACTGCATAGCTGTACAGGCTGCCCAGAGGATGTGTGTTAGGGGATCCTGGGCTGGACACACAGGCGGTGCCGCTGACCTCATCTGCTGGAATGCACTGGGCTCAGTGGAGGGCCTCTGGGCAGCAGGACTGGGCATCACTGTTCCCCTCAGATGCACTGCTTCAAACACAGCCTGTTCCCCCTCCAGTCATGCCTAGCACGTTCCCTGTCCTCAGGCCTGCAGGTGTCCTACTTCCCAGTCCTCTCACTGCTCAGTGAAACCCTAGCAAGTCCCATTTATTGATATGGCTGTGGACCCCCTGTTGCCTCCTTGGCGGACTACCAGATTTTGAACAAATTAAATTTCCTCTCCTCTTTGGGTCATCTTTTCAACTGGATCAGGAAACATGGGATTCTTGTGATGATTCAATATTTCCAAACTCCATGAGGTTACCCCAGACATATGGGGTTGGTCCTCATTACCTTCCCAAGGCCCAACAAGCATCCATGACACTTGTTTCCCACCTAAGAAGTGATCTACAGATATATTGTTGTGCGTGGCAATATGTTTTTTAAAGATTTATTTACTACTTGAAAGGCAGAATTATAGACAGAGAGGGAAAAACAGAGTGAAATCTTCTATCCACTGGCTCAGTCCCCATAGAACCTCAATGAGCAGGTTGGGCCAGGCCGAATCAGGAGTCCAAAACTCCATCAGAGTCCCCCAAACAGCTGGCAGGGCCCAAGCACGAGCTGTCTTACACTGCTTTCTGAGGCACTTTAGCAGGGAGCTGGATCAGAAGTGGAGGAGCAGGGACACCAACCAGGGATCCCATGGAGGGGTCCCCACAGGTGGCGCTTGAACCTGCTGCACCACAATGCCAGCCCCAGGTGGCAGTATATCTTTATCTTGGCCTCCAGAGCTCCCATATCAGACAATAATATGATTGGTAGATGACAAGGACAAAGGAAATGGACAAGAGTTATGAGACAAAATAGAGGAAGGGAAACACGAGGGATGGAAAACAATGAGTTGCACACATTGACCCAGTGGCTACCTATGGAGGAACAAGGTGACACTTCTTAGGCACAGTGATGGGAATCTGAGGGCTGGAAGAAGAAGTCAGAGTTCAGATCCTCTCACTCATTACAGAGGTGAAGCCATCTAGGCCTGGGATAGGGATACAGACACGGGGTCCAAGGTTGGCCTACATCATCCAACCAGCAGCAGGGATCCAAGTCCTCACCTCAAGTCTAACTCTCCCCTTTCCTTCTCTCTGCTCTGGTGCACACGGAAGGCAACCTGGCAGAATCTGAAAGTTATCTTGGCAGCGGCGATCTAGGGGTGAGTGATTCCTCTTTTATTTTTTCTGATTCTCTTGCTTTCTTGCTCACAAGCCCCTGGTCCTGCTTCTCCCACATTCCCTCCTCACCACAGTGGATGATTCACATCCTGAAGGACCTGGTGGCATCCAGGCAGTGGATGTCCTTGCACTGTGGATGCTGATCCAGTCTCTCTGCAGCCCTCCCCTCTCCCTTCATCAGCCCTGCCCTCACTCCTCATCCCCACACTGCACTATGAAACGGTGCTGAGCAACCCGACTGCCCACACAGGGAACTTGGCTGGGGACAGGCAGGCAGGGTCCCAGTGTCAATGGAGGGAGGACTCCAGGGAAGTCTGACTCTGGCCTCCATGTCCCCCAGGACAGGGCTTTTCCTTAACGCCTGTTTCAGGAAACATACTTGTCTCCTTCCAGCTGTCCACATGTTCCCTTGACGTTAACTACCCTGAAAGTCTACAGGACATGGAGGACCTCGATCAAGATCAGGAAATGTGAGTTTGGAGCAGGTAGATGGGGGTCAGGGAAGTAAGGGCACATGGACTCCATTGCTTCACATTCTTTTGACACCTCAGGGAAGCCAACAAACTGGAGCCCAGAGGTGGAGAGGCTGCCGTCGAGCCTGACCTGGAGAGTGATGAATGGATGTTCAGGATCCACGCAGGTGAGTGAAAGATGCACCCTGAGGTGGTCCCAGGGACACATCCCCATTCCATGGCAGCCCCTAGGGCTCCCAGGCTGAGCCCCCAGTAGCTGCTTTCATCTGAAGGAAAGGCTGGAGTTGCTAGCAGGATTGGCATGCAAATGACTTCGGAGGGGGATGTTAATTGTGTTGTTTCTGGGGAGAGCCCCCAGAGCTGTTGAACATCTCCCACTACAGGGTGCATCCCCACCTGCCCATCCCAAAGTCAACAGGCAGCTTCACAGGTGTGGGGAGACACTGTGGGTCGTCCCTGACCTCTTCAAACTCAGGACGATTAGGAAGAGGGTGAGACAGAGAGAGGTGCCTTTGGGTGTCTTTTCACACCAGGAAGAGAGCCCACTGCACTCACCTTTGTATCCTTGTGGGTTCCCAGCCCATCCTGACACCAAATAGGAGCCAGCACAGAACACAAGAGCTCCAGGCCTTTTGGGGACCTCAGCCTCCTTTCTTAGAGCCTTTTTTATATGTTGATTGCTTTATTTTTCTGGGTGTAAAATTTCCTATGTACCTGTCAAATTCAAACATTTGGGCCAGTGCCATGGCTCAATATGCTAATCCTCCGCCTGCAGTGCCGGCACACCGGGTTCTAGTCCCAGTCGGAGCACCTGATTCTGTCCCGGTTGCTCCTCTTCCAGTCTAGCTCTCTGCTGTGGCCCAGGAGTGCAGTGGAGGATGGCCCAGGTCCTTGGGCCCTGCACCCGCATGGGGGAGACCAGGAGGAAGAACCTGGCTCCTGGCTTCAGATCAGTGCTGTGCGCCAGCCGTAGCACACCAGCCACAGCAGCCATTGAGGGGTGAACCAACGGAAAAGGAAGACCTTTCTCTCTGCCCCTTTCTCTCTGCCTGTCAAAAAAAAAAAAAAAATTCAAACACTTACCAGCAATTCAAGGCAAAGCTCACTTTGAAGAGTAGCAGGAGCAGGGCCCCAAGCCCCTCTGTTCTTCTCATTTGTGCTCTAATTTATACTTCAATTACAAATACGCATTGGCTGTATGTCTTCAAAAGAAAGTCTTCCATCACATGTTCCATGCCAAAATATACTAAAGCAATAATGGTGGGGTTTTAATGCCACAGAATAATTCTTTGCCAATAAAATCTCTGAGATGACTTTTACAGGGAGGATAGAAAGAACTTCTACAAGATTAGGGAAGGAAACGAAAGGCTCTGTGCAGTTGTCCATAATTAACATGCAGCTCACAGGCCCCAGACCTGTGGGGTAAGGACTGAGTGGGCAGGGTCAGGACTCCCATTCTGTGTCATCAGACCTGCTCCTCACAAGACCCAGGGGAGTGGGCCTTGGATTTGTAATCCCAGGGGCCAAGAGACCTCCCCCTTCCTGTGCATCAGGTTCACTGCCAAAGCGGCCAGTCCCATGAAGGCTGCCCAGGTGAGTGCCTAGGGGAATTCACAATTGTAGGACATCCACACCCCATCCAAATGGGCCTCAGTGCCCCCATGGCCCTGACTGCTGTGCAGTTCAGGACCTACGGTTACCTCCCAGGCCACAGGAGCCTTCTGAGAGCTGCACACCCATCCCACTGTCCCCACCCCAGCCTCATCCCTGTCCTCCCCACTGACCCCTGCTCCTGTGTCTTTCTTGCAGACATCTTCAGCTGCTCAGAAGTCTGCAGTGTGGAGTCCTGGCAATCAGAGGAGCTGGAGTTTCCCACACCATCGGAAACTTGAACCACACAGGAGGAGACACAACATCAGCCACATCCCTCCTCACCAGTCCTCTGCAAACTTTATATTAAATTCTTTCACCTAGTACTAGTTGATCTTCACATGCTTTTCTGTAAAATAAATACATCATAAGAAAACACCTTTAGCAAAGGCAGAACTTAAAATGATCAGAGAGCAGTCACCCTAGGGAGTACCACCATCATCACTCCCTCGAGAGGAATCTCATTTGGTCTTCACTGAACAAAGTCACTGCCAGGTTGGCTGTTAAAATCTGTCCTTACAGTAATGACTTTCTAGGGTTTTTGTCTCACGTCTGTTCCTTCCTCTGGAAGGGATCATGGGGTCCATCTCACCCAAGATCTCTCACAAAGACTTGGATGCCAATGTTATTTTTTCACCTAATGGCAGCTTGGATGGCACAAAGTTCTTGGCTCTTCTTGAGCATCTTAAATATTGTCTTCTTTTTCCTCCCAACCCAGACCAGCTGGATCATTTTCATTCCCTTCTATGTTACTCATCCCTGTATTCTAGATCTCTGAATATTTTTCATATAATTCCCAGATTTTACTAGGCTATAAATGGCTTCACTCACTCAAAGTATGACCCAGTTTTCTGTGAAGGAGGAGTTTGAGAGCATATTGTCATTTCCGGAAACAGTCTGAATTATAATTATTAGCTTTAGATCATTGCATTGGTTTTTCCTCTTCCAGCAATCTCATTCATACACATGCAGGTATTCAACTTCTGGTATTCCTCTCTCATCTTCTGAAATCTTTGGTCAAGCTCCTATTCTGTATATTTCCTCTCTCACCTTCTGTTTCCTGAAAGGCACAGATCTGTTTGTGTTTCTTCTGGTTTGCATTTCACGGGTGATGTTAGTTTTTCCTGTTTTCCTCCTTCTTTCCTGAGTCTGCCCATTCATTTCTGAGCTTCCCTGATTCTTAGTATCATGTCCTTCCATGCTTGGTATCATTGTCTCAACCATGTCTCCCTCATCCTGAAAACTACCCCGCTGAGAACACAAATTACACAAAGATGGAAGTGTTTTCATGTATCAGAGAGTACTTTCTCTCTCTTTATTACTGATTCCTCCCTCTAGTACTTTTATATGGGGATGGGCATATTGCCACCAAGATTCTGGTTTTGTTCCTTTTAATAGAAAATTTGGTTTTGGGAATTCTGCATGAGCAATAGGATTCAGAAAGACTTGTCTTCACATAGCTTCTCTCAGTTGCTTTTGTGCAATGCTGGAAAACATGACACCTGATTTCTTGGCTCTGCAATTTACCATTATTCCATATGAGATTCCCCTCTGAAAACCCCTCTTTCAACTTAACTGGATTATTGCTACTCCATAGGAAAGCCTGTTATATAAGGAAACAATGGCCCCCAACTTTGCAAATCTAGATTTATAAAATCCCTTTCTATGAAGAGTCAGTATCAGAATCTCTGAGATTATGCAGTTACTTTCTATGATGTCTACAAAATTATTTTCTCTGAGTGACTGGTTAGCCTGTCTTTATCAGTCACCATTTCATTCATAGGATCATTAAGTTTTAGTTTCTTTTGCTTTCTTTGAATCACAAAATTTAGGAGTTTTGGTTTTTTATTTATATTTGTGGCATTTGAGTTTAGAATTAGTAATTTTCACTTTACTTTTACATCAGTCTTATTTCAGAAAAATTTGGTTTCAGTTACCAGAATGGTTTTTAGTTAGTTTTAGTGAGTGCTATGCATTTTGAATCCCTTAGACTATCAAACAGGTACATGCAAGATCAGGTTCACCTAGGTCCACAACTCCAGCAGAAATGAGTTTTGCCAAGTTCAAGCATAAACAGCTGGCTTACCACAATCCCTTGTGTTTGACACAGAATGGCCAAGGATCATCTTACTGATTTGCCCTTGTCCTTAAATGCACTACCTTGGAAATAAACTCTCTAAGCAAAAGTACTCTTTGAATTTTCTTTAGCTTATATATAAAAATTAATGTACAGGAAAAAAACTGTTATCCATATAATGTCATGAATCCAATTCCTGAGCAATTAAAGATTTACACACACACATACACACACACTACAGGATGGGTGGCTTGGAAAACAAAATGATGATCTTATACTCACAAACCAGGAGTTCATGAATGAACTCTGGCTCCCTGGAGCCTGGGGATGTTCTACTGCTCACTGTCCAGGGACACCCATTGGTGGAATGGCTGAGCCAGGCCCACAGCTGCATCTTTCTTTTTCAAGATTTATTTATTTATTTGAAAGGCAGAGTCAGAGAGAGAGAGAGAGAGAGAGAGAGAGAGATCAAGATCCTCCATCTACTGGTGGTTCACTCTCCCAATGGCCATAACAGCTGGGATTGGGTCAGGCCAAAGGCAGAAGCCAGGAGCTTCATCTGGATCTCCCATATGGGTACAGGGGCCCAGGCACTTGGGCCATCTTCCACTGCTTTTCCAAGTGTATTAGCAAGGTGCTGGGTAGGAGGTGGAGCAACCGGTCATAAACTGGTGGCCATATGGGATACCGGCATTGCAGGTGGCAGGATAACCTGCTGTGCCACAACACTGACCCCCACAGCTGCATCTTAGCCCTGCCCCCCACACACAAACACATACACATGGCATCGCTTGTTAGCAAAAGACAAGATTAATATCATACAAGCTCTTCAAGCCTCTGATACCCTACAAGCATGCACAGGTGATCTCTCCCCAAACTGTCCAGGCACCGGTTGGCAGGATTCATGGATGGCATGGTGTGCACCTGTGACTTCAGAAACATAGGCATGGCATGCAGAGGAGGCGCTGGGCTGGCCTCCTGATGCACTTAGTGCATGGTGCAGATAGTTCAGAGGCAGCAAGTCTAAAAGGGATAACAGTGGATGGAACAGCGGATGGAACAGCCTCAGACACAGTGAGCAGGAGGCTAGAGAAGTAACTTCCTGGAAACCACTCCTGTTAAGCTTCTCATGTGCTTGGAGGGGCATTACGGACCTGTGGCTGGTTTACTGGCTATTCGAATGGGACATGTGGGAGACAACAAACCCCCACACCAGAGGCTGAGGATAAAGCATGAAAAACCAGGTAGGAGCACAAGAATGGGTCTAATAAAGGACCTTCTGCTGGTGAGTGGGTTATCTCCCTTGTTGGAGGGCACAGGGATGTGAGCTGTCTATGCATCATCTAAGATCAGGAGATAGGGACAGAGTGAGCATCTAGATCAGCCATGAGTCCCCGGATCTCATGTCAACGAGATTTCCGGACGACTCCTGGTTCATTAATGGGAATTTGAGTGCTGCAAGGGATATGTAGCAAAAGTAACATTTTTGGACACATTCCTCCCTTGATGTATTTAAGGAAATGTGTGAAAGTACTGAATGAATGTTTAAAGACACATATATAACTTTATAAATACCTCTATACTTTGAAAAATAATATTGTGGGGCTGCACTATGGTGTAGTGGGTAAAGTTGCTGCCTGTAGTGCCAGCATCCCATAAGGGTGCCAGTTCAAGTCCCAGCTGCTCCACTTTTTTAATATATTTATTTATTTGAAAGGCAGAGTTTCAGAGAGGCATAGGCATAGGTATAGGCATAGGCAGAGAGAGAGAAAGAGAGAGAGTGAGAGTGAGAGAGAGAGAGAGAATCTTCCATCTTGGGCCATCTTCCACTGTTTTCCCAGGCCATAGTAGGAAGCTGGATCAGAAGTGAAGCACCCAGGTCTTGAACGGGCACCTATATGGGATGCAGGTACTACAAGAGGTGACTTTAACCACTATGCCACAGCATTAGCCCCTGCTCCACTTCTGATGTAGCTCCCTGTTAATGTGCCTGGGAAAGCAGCAGAAAATGTCCCAAGTGTTTGGGCTCCTACACCCTCATGGAAGACCTGGATGAAACTCCTGGCTCCTGGCTTCTATCTGGTCCAGCCCTGGCTGTTGCAACCACCATGGGAGTGAAATGGTGGATGAAGATTTCTCTCTCTCTCTCTCTCTCTCTCTCTCTCTCTCTCTGTATCTCTCTCTCCTCTCTCTAGTGCTGCTTTCAATAAACAAATCTTTTTTTAAAAAAAGAAAAAGAAAGTTGTTTTTTACTTGTAAAGCTGCATCCTTCCTTCTGGGATGCTTCCCTCTCAAAGGAAGGAGGAAGTCAGGACAACCTTTAATTTACAAATGTGCACACCACAAATACATAAAACATGTATCTAGAAATAAATACAGATAGAAACCAATCTGTAACATCCACATACCTGACGTTCACAACACATTGGGCTTACAAAACTAATATACACAGCCCCAAAGAGCTCATACAGAATTGGACACACACACTCAAGCTCTTCACAGAGGGGCCACTGAGCCCTCCTCTTCTGTGCTGGAAAGCATGGGGGTCAGAAACACCCAGAGAGATCCTTGCTGATAGTTCCATTGACCATGGGATGACATCAATCACCATGGACGTGTCAGTGCACAGCCCTGAAACCAGGGACCTCAACATCAGTGGATTGTTGGCCACTCTTTTCCAGAAAGAAAACCCACATTTTGAAAACTTGTGGCACTTAAAGACTCCCGGGTCAACAAGGGTAGGTGAAGCCTGGCCTCTCCCCCTAATCTGTGTTTCTGGGGAGGTTACCTTGTAGGTAGTAAACCTAGGCACCAGGTCAGATGGCATGAGGCTGGAGGGATGGTCCTGTCACAGTGCAACCAAAATGGGGTTGTTTGGGGACTTCTCAGAGACCAGGAAATGGCACAGGCCTGAAGGCTACACACTCTGGGAAAGCCAGCTCTGGCCAAAGCAGCATGTCCTAGAGATACTGCCCAGGAGAACTGCAGGGCCAGCTCACTGACTCTCTTGGAAACACCTGGAGTCCACATGCTGTATGCCTCCCACACCTGAGGCACTCAGGACCCATGGCTGGTTACCACCCTTTACTGACAACACCCCCATGTGAAAGATACCCCTCACCAGGTCACAGGCTGGATGTCTGGTCTGAAAGCCAAGGTGGATGCATAAGGAGACTGTCTAATTTAGGACCCACTAATCCTAGGCCAAGACACTTGGAAAAACTGTTGGACGTGTGTGCACATATATGTTGCCCATGGACATAGCCAGAAGTCAGGAGCAAGGCCATGGGTCATCCCCAGTCCCCAGTCCCCAGGCCATTAATCTTTCCAGAAGTCCCTTGCTTCTACATTGACAGGTGGAAACCCATATCGTATCCACAACAAAAGTTAAAACTCTTAGACAAATACGCATTACACACACATCTGTAAATGTGTGCATGTACTGAACAAACTGAGGAGGAAGTGTACATAACTGTGTATGTACTCCTATTGGTCTACAGAACAGACAGTGGTTCCTTTAACTGTGGAGCTATATGGGATAATCTGACACTGCAGAAGGGAGGAATGTACTATGACCATTATTTCTAGAGCTGTATATACTCAAAAATACATGCAAACATATATGTTTCCAAAGTAAGTAACAGAGAAATAAATCCATGAGTATTAAATCCATGATTCTATAACAAGACAATGTACATATACAAATAACTACACACACAACACTGGGGAGCACACACAATCTGACACACTTAGATACACGTATAGTCTATATAATCTAATTGTCCAGGCATTGGGCCCTCCACATCTCACTGGCAAGCTTGGGGTATAACACACCTGGAGGCCCTTCGCTGCCCATTCCAGGGCCCCTTAGTGCACACCAATCACCAGGGCCTTTCCACCAAAACAGCCATGACAACATGGATCTGAATCTTGGTGGAAAGATGGCCACTCTTTCCATCAAAAGAAAAACACATCCTTTGAATCAGCCACGAGTCTGAGCAACTCAGATGCCAACAGAACTGAAGCTAGCCCTCTCTGTGGAGAATTTCCTCACACAGAGAGCTATGTTCTGAGGCTGACTTGGAGGTAGTCCATGAAGACCCGAGTTCTGGTGACATAAGGCGGGTGGCACAGGTCTGCCACGTGAGAGTGCCCTGAGGATAACTTGGGACTTCTGAGGGTCTTCTTGGATGTTTATGGCCCCCACACTCTCGTACAGGAAGGGAGATGGTCAGCCAAGGGCTCCTATGACCTCAACCCAGCCAGGGTTGCACATTTCTGGCCCATGATTGGCAGGTTCTGTTCTGTATGGTATTCATAACTAAAATAGTGCTCTTGTAGAAATCCTGGCCTATATACACTTATGAAAATGTACATAGACATTGAACAGACCCCTAAAGATACATGCTTAACTGTCTGACTACTTGTACCACTCCATAAACATATAGAAAATGGTTCGTTTACCTGCATTCTTGCATCCAGGATGCTTCAACTCCCTAGGAGAAAAGAATACATTAACAACATTATTTCTACAAACACAAATACATACAAACATGTACATCACAGGAATAAGTAAAGCATAAAAACACCTGATCCCACATGTATGAGAGTATAACAAGAAAGTGTACATATACAAATAAGTTAGATACACAGCAAAGCACACACAACCACACACATACACACATTTACTTCCTTTGTCTAAAGGCCATTTGGGCCTTCCCTCCAGTATTGGCAATATTGAGTGCGTACACACCCAGGAAATCCCTTCACTGCCATGTCCATGGGTCCATGGCAACACCAATCACCAGGGACATGTCACTGAACTACCTATGGCAACAGGTAGCTCATTAGGGAGCTGAACGCTCTTTCCAAAGATGTTCACTAGAAGGAAAACCCATCTTTTGGTTAAGTCAGAGCTTAGAATCTCAGCTGCCAATGGGTCTGGCAGAAGCTGACCTCTAACCTAAGAACATTCCCTCACACTGTGCTCTCAGTTCACCATGCAGACAGTACACATACATGGCATCAGGCTGGATGGACAACCCTACCAGGAATGGACTTCAAGGAGGATGTTTGGGGACTTATAGAAGCCAGGCCTAGACCCTGAACACTATGCCCTATTACAGAGCTGGCTCTACCTATAACTCCCTTGTCCTAGAGGCCAATGTAGCTACCTAGAGGACGGGCTCACTGACTCATTGAGAAACAACTAGAAACCATGTGTCTTAGGCCTCCCACATTGAAAACCCAGGACTCTCAGCACCAGTGTCATCCTGGCATTCCTGATTGGAGAAGGGCTTTCAGGAATAAAACAAAGCCTAGAGGACAAAAGGGAAATGACAAGTGACCATGACCACTTGAAGTTTAAACATAACACAGAAGCAGCGTGAAAACAGCCAACGCTATGGGGATCATCTGTGCGAATGCACATACGCAAAGGATGCTGCCTGCCCATTAAGTGGTGCCCTAGAAACACGTGTAATTTCTGGGTTTCTTTAAAGAAATGTTTAAAAGATACTGGTTTCACCTGAACATAACCCTACCGTTCAACCCAGCCCAGCCCACTCCTTGGAATTTACCCAAAGGAATTTAAATTGGCAAACAAAAAAGTGGTCTGCACCCTAATGTTTATTGCAGCTCAATTCACAATAGCTAAGACCTGGAACCAACCTAAATGCCCATCAACGGTAGACTGGATAAAGAAATTATGGGATATGTACTCTTTAGAATACTATACCGCAGTAAAAAAAAACAATGAAATCCAGTTTTTTTTTTTTTTTTTTTTTGTGGTGACCTTTCACTGGCTCCAAAACCTGGGGCCAGACTCTGCCCTCAACCTTGCTTTCCTCTCGGGGATGTGAGCTGCTTTGAGATCCTGGAATTCTGCCAACAACAAAACTCAACCCCGGACTTCCTTCACCTCTGAACACTCTGCAATCTCCATCCACACACCAGTCCTCCAAATTTCTGAGGCAATGAAGAACCAAAGTGACTCCATTTTAAAACAATAAAAAAGCAGCCTCCATTTCCCATAGCAGACCCGGGTCCTTGTAAAAGCAGGCGTTCAGGCATTCCAGAAATATCAAAGCTTACCAGGGACAGCTAGCTCGGTAGACCAAGGACAGCACAGTAGAGATTGCTAAACAAAGTAACTCCCTGTTCCCAGAGCTTCCATGCTGTATGTAACTCTTTTTTCCTGCTGATGTAGCCCCTTTTTCCTTTAAAAACTCTCCCAAACAAAGACCAGGGCCTCACTCCTTCCTCCGCTGTGCAGTTTGGTTGGATGGGGTCCCTGTCACGGCTTGTACTCCCGAATAAACCTTGCTTTTGCAGTTCGGTGTGATCGACTCTCTGGGGGTCTCTGTGGGGATCTAACGATCTGGGAACAACATATTTTTTGGTGCCCAACAGTAAGACGTGGCAGGTGGAGGATCCTCTTATTTAGACTCTATGGGTTATGGTTCTATGCAACTTTGCCCCAAAGTCCTGGTACCAGGCACCACATCTCCTACGGTCTCATGCCTCCATACTCTGTGTCCAGGCAATAGCATGTGTGGGTGACAACTCAACCCCATTTCCCTTCTATGGGTTATGTCCAGGGCTCCAATGGGTGCATGGGTAATGACCCACCCTCTGTTCCCATATCCTCCCGTCAGATGGCTGTGATCTCAGGGATCCCCAATATCTGCCTGATTCTACAGGTCACCAGGAGAGCTTCTCCCCATGTTCTAGTTAATCCTCCTCTCGGTGGTCTCCTACCTTGACAACCAGTTCAAGATCTCTATCTGTGAACATTTGGAAAAGTGGAAGATTTCCTATGTCCAAGCTTTCTCCTGTCTCAGCTCTAAACCTCCTCTGGCTCAAGTTCTCGATTTCCTGGTCCCAGGAGTGAGCATTTCCTAGATGTATCTCTCCCAACCCACATGAAATAAAGATCAACACTACTGGCCCTGCAAACCAGCCAGCTTACCAGGTTAATTACTATTTCCAGACATATCTCCTTTTCCCTAACTGCCCCTTACTCTGTCACCTATCAGATTTCCTCCTTAGAAATCTCTGGAGGGGTGTCCATCCACTCTCATGGATATTCTGCCCCATTAAGCCTAACACAATGAACAGTCTCCAGTGGACTTCTTGTCCATGGCACATCGGCCCCAGCCCACAGTCACCTTGGGACCTGTCTAGCAGCTGCCTGAACTTTTGTTTCAGAGGTAGTCCCGAGTGGCTGACTGTTGACCAGGGCATCACTGGCCTAAGGTCTTCCTTGGGTAAAAAGAAAAGTAGACTCGCTGTCTCTACAAGATTGGTGAGTCTCATTTTCATTTCCTTCTGTGCCGCTCATCCTTGAACTCTAGATGCATGAACACATTTTCTTTGAATTCACAGATTCTACAGACAAGGCCCTCAACTCTAGATGCATGAACACATTTTCTTTGAATTCACAGATTCTACAGATAAGGCCCTCTACCCACAAGAGATGAGCGACCTTTCTCCCAGTCTTGGTTGGGATCAGCTCCGCAGCCTCTCTGTCCTCAGTAGTGGTCTCAGGAGCAGCTTTCGGCCACAATGTTATCTCAACCAACCTACTGCAAACAACTCCAACAGTTACAAGAGGAGGTCACTAGGCCCATCGAGACCTCAGTTGATGCCATCTGAGGTCTCCAAAGCCATATTGCCTCACTAACCGATGCTGGTACTATGGAATAGATGGACCTTAACTGTGTTGTTATTATATTAATCAATAAGGTCAGGCAAAACTACATCCATCAAACAGTCTTACAGAGTCCAGAGACTCCCCCCTCATTTCCTCTCCTCTATGAAATCCTCTCATTACTTGGTTAATGCCACTCTTATGACCACTGGCTGCTATCCTCACCCTGTCTTTTATACTATGGTGTCTGTTTAAGTGATTACAGGAGGTGATAATGGAACGAACCAAAGCCTTCACCAGTCAGGTGGTAAACCCAATGCTGCTGCAGGGATATACTTGGCTCCCCACCCAGGAGATCGCAGCTTGAGGCATCACCCCATGCCAGCAGAGAGTAACTTGTTGTCCCATGTCAACAGAAAGTAGCTCTAAAGACAGATCATCATCCCTCCGCCCCTCCTGGACTTTGGGGCCTGATGTGACCCCGTATAACACTTGCTTTATTTTTTTTTTTTTGACAGGCAGAGTGGACAGTGAGAGAGAGAAACAGAGAGAAAGGTCTTCCTTTGCCGTTGGTTCACCCTCCAATGGCCGCCGCGGCCGGCGCGCTGCAGCCGGCGCACCACGCTGATCCGATGGCAGGAGCCAGGAGCCAGGTGCTTCTCCTGGTCTCCCATGGGGTACAGGGCCCAAGCACCTGGGCCATCCTCCACTGCACTCCCTGGCCACAGCAGAGGGCTGGCCTGGAAGAGGGGCAACTGGGACAGAATCCGGCGTCCCGACCGGGACTAGAACCCGGTGTGACGGCGCCACTAGGCGGAAGATTAGCCTAGTGAGCCGCGGCACCGGTAACACTTGCTTTATTAAAAAAAAAAAAAAAGGTGGGGGGAATTTTAGTAAAATGGTGCAAATCTACTCCCTGGACACCATCCTCAGCTCTAGCCCCCGCCACCACTGCTAGAAGCCAGATGACAAAATGGCCCAACCACAGGTGTCAGCTCCACCCCCACTCCAATGGGATTCGCTGCTATTTCCCAGCCCCCTGCAAAGGTTTAATAGGACAGGCTTCCTGCACACGTGCTCTCTCTCTTGATCTCTCTCTCGACTTCTTTCTCTCGCTTACTCTCTTGCCCTCTCCCCTCTGCCTGTCAGGTTTCCCCCACATGACAATAAACCTTTTCCCTTAAAAAAATTAGAAAATCTGAGAGGTGGGGATTTCAGACATTCAGTGAGAGAGGGCACCTTAAATAAATTCCTGTACGTCCGTACACACAATACTATGGATCTGCAGTTCAACTTGTGTTTGAGTGAGGAAATCACGAGTGACAAAATAGTAAATGCAAAAAGCAAGTTACATAACTTCCCTGGTTGAAAAATGGTATGCACATTTATTTTTTAAAAAATCACATGTGGGGGCCAGCGCTGTGGCACACAGTGAGTTAAAGCCCTGGCCTGCAGTGCTGGTATCCCATATGGGCACTGGTTTGAGCCCCAGATATTCCACTTCTGATCCAGCTCCCTGCTAATGTGCCTGGGAAAGCAGTGGAAGATGGCCCAAGTCCTTGGGCCCCTGCACCCACATGGGAGACCCAGGAGAAGCTCCTGGCTCCTGGCTTCAGATCAGCTCAGCTCGAACCACTGAGGTCATCAGGGGAATGAACCAGCGGATGGAAGAGATCTCTCTCTCTCTCTCTCTCTCTCTCTCTAACTCCTTCAAATAAATAAAATAAATCTTTTAAAAAAATCATATATGGAGAAAGACACTAAGGTAACTGAAGCGATTTCAAAAAATGGGAATTAAGTGCCTTCCATGTCAACATTTTTCTATTAACTAATAAAACCCATGTA